ATGGGTGAAAATTTAATAGGAAATTTTGTAATTATTTATAATTAAATGATTTAATATATGGGGATCCCACAGCAAAAGGAGACAGTGGACAAAAATAATTTTTTTTTAAACTCAATTTCTTGAAGAATTAAAGTATTAAAAATACAATTTTTATAAAATTACAAAACCAAATTTCTCTTTTTGCTATAGGGTTTCCATATGAATATATTACAAGTTTAAAATCAAAATCGTTAAATAATTCATAAATGATTTATGTGTTTATGAGTTGTTTTATGCAGAAATAGTAAAATTTATGCCAAATGATTTATGTACGTACATAGGTCATTTGGTATATGAAACTTATATTAAAGTCATCATATGATTAGATTATTCAAAAATAACAACCCAAGTGTCACCTGTAAAAAATAGTAGATCTGCCGGTTACCTGTAATTTTGGACCTGCTTATAATGATAAGGTATTATCGATTGATTCCAAATCATTTATTATTGCAAATTTTTTGTTATTAGAGTATTATCTTTATTGCTAAGTACTTTTTTTTTTACTTATTTATTTTATTTATTTTTTACTAAATTAAACCAACATGTCAAAGTCTGCGAAGGATGTGAAGGGTGTTATTTTATTTAAAACTATGAAGACTTCTTGAATGAAAAAAAAATGTTTATGACATTTTAAGATTAAACACTTTAAAGAAACTTACTATATAATAATATACAATATTTTTTTTATTAATATAAAGTAAGAATTTTTTTTACTACCTAGTGTAACTAACTTTTTTTTTGCTTTTTTTTTATATTATTTAAATGATTTAGTACATATTTATAATTTCAATAATTCTGATTACAAGCAAAATTTGATCAAATAAAGCATGGCTTAAAAGGTTTACTAATATATTTATAATGTTTATTATACATACTTGAAGAAAAACTTCCTACTAAATAAGGTATCAAAGTGCACAATTATCACTATCAAATATGGTAATCATTTTGAGCAAAGGTATTTTTTAATATATAAACAATTTTATTCATCAAAAACATCTCTCAGTTAAAGCTTATTGAAAAATAATATTTGTATTATATAATTTCTTTTCAAAGCCTTGAGAATAATGCTATATTATATAGCTTTGTTCTAAATATACATGTAATTAGATATGAGTGCTACTAAGGAAAAACCTGATACAATATATATAAAGATAATTTAATAGCAAGTAAAAGAGTATATTTGCTACATAGCTATATATTTGTTAGTTTTTATTAGTATTAGTATAAAATAAATTAACTATTTAAATTGTTAACTATTTTATTTACTTATTTACACCCACTTATAAATTAAATAATTAATTGTAATTTTCTTCATCTATCTATATATAAATATAAAAGATGGATGTTTTATAGAATAGGTAGGCAAACTCTGCAAGCTTCACAACTCCACTAAGTATCTATTAATGATTACTAATCATTAGCAAAGCTTATTTCTTATATTGCCTACCTATTCTATAGAACATTCTAAAAGACTAGCAATTTATTCAAATAAATAGCTATCTTGATTTAGATTGCTTTTTTTTATCACTTCTATATTTACTTTAATATTGATATAGAAGAAATCAGTTCCTACTAAATAAAATAATCAAGTTGCTTATTAATTATTTAAACAAAATCAACTAAAAATTATTAGTTATTGTTAAAAAATTATTTGATTGCATTAGTATATTGTACAAATATTGCATAAATAAGCCTCTTAAAAATGCAAAATATAATTTATATGCCACAATGCTTGTTTAAATATATATATTTGTTTTTATCTCGGCCTAAAATAAATATGCTACAACAATACTGCAATAGTTTGAATTATTCTTATATAAGTCTTCTTTTTTCATTCACTTGTTATAAAATTTTAAATCCTTTCTTTCTTATACTACTGCACTAGATTGTTTTCATATTGATAAGACAATTGCCAGAGCTATTTGTAAAGTACATAGCAAGCACCAATTTTGATGCTTATATAATCAATTCTGATTGGCTAATTTTGACCAATTGGTTAATTAAACATATATATTCTTTTTTTTTTATATTATATACCAATTTTTTAAATCATTAATAAACTTTAACTCTTAATAGCTCCTTTAAACCAAAAATTAATAAAAAATCCTTTGACAAAAATGTAGTTTAGCTAAATATCTATCAATTTATCGAAGGGTTTTTGATTTAACTTGATTTAAAAAAGTTATAATAATTTAAAGTTTTTATTAATAAAAAGTGGATGCGTTTTGCTGTCCAGTACTGTATTAATAATTATTTAATATACGAATCGATATATATTTTTAGGATCCTGATATTTCCACACCCTTTTTGAAATTTCCACACCCCTATGTAAATCACTTTTTTTTCTAACTTCGATCGAAAGTAACTCGCTAACCATCTGACCAAATTCAATTAATTTTTTTATTTGAATCTCTGGAACCGTAGTATTCAAATAAAAAAAAAAAATTCATCGAATTTGGTTGCGTGGGTATCGAGATACCTTCGATCAAAGACAAGAAAATTTTGCCGCGCTATTTGATAGACGTTTAAAAATTTTTCTTGAATTTGATTGAAGGTATTTCGACAACCACCAAACCAAATTTTGATGGATTTTTTTTTTTTTTATTTGAATTCCACTACTCCATGGAATTTAAATAAAAAAATATTAACTGAATTTGTAGGTGGTTGTTGAGATATTTTCGATCAAAGTCAAAAAAAATAATTCCATTTGATTGACGTTTGTAAAAGTTTTTTAAAACTTTAATCGAAGATATCTAGACAACCACCTGAACAAATTTGATGAAATTTTTTATTTGAATTCTCTGGAACAGTAGAATTCAAATAAATAAATAAATAAATAAAAATTCATCGAATTTGGTTTGGTGAGTGTCGATATACCTTCAATCAAATTTAAGAAAAATTTTAACCGTCTATCAAAATATTAGCTGCGGCAAAATTTTCTTGACTTTGATCGAAGGTATTTTGACATCCATACAACCAAATTAGATGAACCTTTTTTAATTTGAATTCTAAGGTTCAAATAAAAAAATTTATTATATTTGGTCAGGTGATTAGCGAGTTACTTCCGATCAAAGTTAAAAAAAAAAACATGATTTGCATAGAGGTGTGGAAATATCAAAAAAGGGCGTAGGTCCCTATTTTCATGATTACCGTAATTCGGAGATCGGTTAACGTAGATTTTCTATGTGCTCACGGAAAAACTTCATGCGGTCATATAATATATCGGACACATAAAACCTTTTTCATCGTTTGCTCAATATGAGCGCCGCCAAGAGAAAATCTGTCATCGGACTTTCTATTATATTTGTGTACAGTTAGCCGTCTATGGAAAGCTCTCATTATGATAGACGGCTAACTGTACATAAAAGTCCGATGACAGGTTTTCCCTTGGCGGCACTCATATTATATCTCATAAATATATTATATAAAATATACCATTTACGTATTAAATCAAATTATTAATGTTTTTTGAGGTACTGGACTGGTTTTGTCAGAGATGGATTTTGGATGTCAAGTTTCGTCCTAAAGAGAAACTGACTACAACTATATAATCACCGGGGTTTTTTATAGGTTGATGTTGTTCATTAGATTTACAAGATAAATCTTTTTTTTTCATGCCAATACCCTAGCTTTTTCTATGTAGTTTAGAACTATCGTTACTTAAGTCGGCAAAAATTGAACCGACCCGTTTGTGAAACAAACCAAAAATCATAAAAAGAAATTTTCAAAGGGGTTGTCATATTCGTGCATAACGACACTGTAAAAGATAAAAAAAATAAGTTGATTTTGGTCAGGATTTCCTGATTGTTAACAATAAATAGCCTTGATCCTCAGTATCACTTACCAAAACCTTCTTATTTTATAACGATAAAAACAGATAGGCCGAAATGAAATACAAGTCGAAATCACGTAAATGAAGTATTAGAAGAAATTATTTGTTTATTTATGCTAAAGAATTTTCTTTTTTGTTCGCTTTATAACAATCAAAAACATATTTATTTACAGTTCTGTGATCCTGCAGAGTGATACGGTTGGCCTCGACCCAACGGTCAGGATCGATGGGCGGGTTGACTCTCACCCTGCATCTATGTGGGTCGGGTTGATCAATAAAAGAAGTATTAGAATAGATTCTTTTCGGCTAGTCATAAAAATGTAGATATTCATTAGTTGGCTAATTTAGTTGTAAAATGTGAGCGGAAATGTTCAGGCATGTTAGGATGCATAGACAATTAAATCTCAAAGAAAATTGGCAAAGAACTACCTGATAGGTATGAAGACTAATTTTGATCAGAAAAAATCGTACTATTTTGCAAAAAGCTCGGCCCGGTCAACCCATACATGATTTTACATCGGCCCATATCACTAATCTTGTAATTTAAAATCGTGGCTCAAAAATTGAGTGCCACGATGACGATAATTTAGGTCTTTTATAACATTTTATGCAATACATTCATCAGAGTAGCAAATGTCTTTCTTGCAAGGACCGTTAAAATTATAATCTAAAATTATGAAAATTATTAGCGTTAGTGTCAAAATAATGACAACAATAATAATAATAAACTGTATTCTTGTAATCCTTATTTAAGAAGTTTTTTAAATGTAATCAGATTGAGAGCATAAAAAAAATGCGATGAAATAACAATCGTAAAAATTATACGTATTAGGCTTACCGTTACATAATTCCTGAAATAAAAAACTTCCACATCATAAATTTGATAAACATGTTTTAAAAAGTTTAATGATAAATTAGGCTAAGTATATTTATATTTATGACGCAATATCTATAATGGCATGTATACATATAAAAATTCATAATCACATGAAAAGCCACTAATGTTAAGCTTTAACTATTATAGATAGTACATTTTTTTTTGTGCAGGACATTAAAGGGATCATTCGGTTTCCTGCTAGGCATTTCACTTTCCTTTCGGTATTTTTTTTTTTAATATTAAAAAAAAACGATGGATACGGACGCAACAAAATACCATTCAAAGGTTGAATTAACTGAGAGTGAAGAAGATAATAATAAAATTAGTGAAAACACGAGAAATGTAAATAAATCAATCTCTCAAAAACGTGTTTTAACGCCGCAAGAAATTGCTATAACTTTTCGAATAATGGCGTATCGAAAGTGTGAGAGGCAAGTTAGAGGAAGATATCGTAGAAGGTCCTTGACGAGAGCATTCTGGTTTATTATGTTTATGATGTTATTCTTATCATTAATGGGTGCTGGAATTGGGGGACAGTTGGGTATATATTTTCGTTTTTCTTGATAATTGTTTTACAATTATAATTTTTTTTTCCCCTTAATCTGTTATCAAACTTTTTAGAAAATGTTAGTGCTTGGAATCGATGGCCTGAATTTGGAACATTGGTCGCACTTTTTCTAGTTATGATGTATGTTTATTACAAGGTTTGCAACTTTTTTCGTAAAAAATGGTTTACTGTGGCAGAATTTTATTCGAACTATTGATAATTTATGTTTAATATTTCCGCTAGATAACTGAAGTTGTTCGATGGTGTTTTTACTGGTGAATATATTTAGATACACGTATTTTGCACAATCTTTGTATTTAACTCATTTATAAATTGAACTATTAAGGCTAGCGATCGCTACTTTAGCTCTTCTGATTATAAATCGCGGGTCGATTATAGATGATAAAAAATCGGGTTTTGCTTCAACGTATGAGAGTCGTTTGGTTTTGATTGTTCTTGGAGTAGTTGAAGCATTGACTTTAATAATATGGATTCTAATACGTTTTGGATATCCAAAGATAGTAAGGAATTTTACTTGGCTCGATACAATTTGGTGGTGGCGTATTAAACCGCATGATACCAAAGGCATTGATGGTGAAACGGTTGGGTGCTTTCGTTATTTCGCTTGGGAGAGTTATAGTATGTGGTTCAGGCATGGTATTGTAAAGTATGTTGGTGAGGTGGATGAAGATGGTCATCCTCATGGGCTTGGTGAATGGATTGATGATTCATTCGACGGTGAATGTTTAAAAGGTATTTGGGAACGTGGTGTACCCGTTGGTCCATTCCATTCAAGAGGTTCAGGTACTGGCGATGCGTTTAATTCTGTTCGTGTAGGGCTTGTTAAAAATCGGCATACACCTTGGGATGAATATAGACCTTTCCCCAGACCATATCAGAGTGGAATTGAAACCCTCGTAGCATCCGTTGAATGTTCCGTTTCTGGAAAGTATTTTAAGCATCTCCCTCGCGCTGATATAATTTTACCACCAAACCTACAAAATTCAACTGAAGATGATAATGAAAGCTATATATCACCGATTGAATATTGTCTTGGACATTTGATGACTTTTGCATCTGCAATGGGCACTGATTTTGCAGCGAAAGAAATTTCTACAATCACAATAAGACTCACAGATAAAGGTTTAACCATCACGGGATATCATCCGACTAGTTCAACTACATCAAGAGACGAGATAGTTGTTAGAAGAGTGCCAATAAAGAATAAGTTGAATTATTCTAAAAAAGAGTACGTTATTGAAATTGACGAATGGCTTCCATCAGGTAGCTTTTCCCCATATGCTTCAACTCATTCAATAAACCACAGCATTCAAAGAAGTTCACAGGTAAAATTTATAGGACTAAAACTGTTTGATTTTTATTTTCAATATATACTTGCTTATGAAAATTTGTGAAATGTGTGAATATAGGAATGCATTATTTTCATTCACGGATTTAATTGTCCATCAAAATTTGCAATAGAAACATTAGGTCAATTTCTTGCTCTTGCCGATTTACCTGATTATATAAAGCCATTTGTATTTTCTCCACCCGGTGCAAATTCATTGTGGTATTTTGGTTCTAAAAGTCTGGGCTCTTCCGAAGGAGCTATGAATGGTAATTGCGCATTCAAATATTTCACATTATATTATTAAATGTGACTACATATTGTATTAAATATTTATTATCTTAATCTTTTTATATAGATTTTCGAACTTTTTTACAAAAGCTTAGTGACGCCGGATTTTGTAATATACATATTATAGGACATTCAATGGGATGTATGCTTGCAATTAAATATTTGGATGTTTTTGAAGGATTATTTCACACTATTGGAAGTTCAAATGATATCAAATTTTATAAAGATAAAGATGCTTTAATGAAACTTTCAACGTTCACATTACTTAATCCAGATACAGCATACAGATCATTTATTGAACAAGATTATGTTAAACTTTCAAATTATTGTGATCATATAACAATTTATTCCAATTATCGAGATTTTGCACTTAAAATTGGTGAAATTTTAAGCGGTGAGAAATCACTAGGACGACAAACAGGTGACTTGTCTTATAAAGATAACTTATTAAATGTGGACCTAATCGATACTACACAATTGGACGTGAACATCCATAAGATGAGACATAATTTCTTTAATTTAAATAGGTTATTGGTTGATGATTTATCAGATATAATTGTATTTGGGAAACGTGCGAGGGAAAGAAAAACTAGATTAAGTGGTCGCAGAGGTGTTGGACGTGAGGGTGTAGTTTATACCTTTTTAGTTGCACCGAGTTATGTTGTTAATAAATAAAATTTTTAAATATTCCTTTTAATTAGATTATGTTGAACATACTGTAATTTATAATCTTTTATATGGACATCATTATAAGTTATTTGTTTTTCGTTCAAATTTTATTCATGTTTACCTATTAAATAGTTAATTTTAATTGTATACGATATCTGATATATGTATAGTTCAGTTTTTATTTTTCTGTAAATGCATTCTATAAATGCATTGATTATAATTTTTTCGAATATTTAATACTAATTAGTCAAGTTATATATACATAAATATAGTGTAGAATCTTGGTATTTAATCCTAGCTTCTAACAAATATTGATAACATATAAAAATATCTTTTTAATAAAGTAATTTTTAAAATTGTTATTCGTATGTTTAATACACTTTAATCATTGTTCGAGAACTATGAACTCACATTAAAAAAAAGTATTATAAGTCTAACATTTTATAAATTTATATAATGTTTGAAATAAAAAGAATGAGACAAACTAATCAAGATATCAAAATTAAATATAATTAAGTTATTAAATAGAAATTGTCTTATGAAAACAAAATCAAGAAATTAAAGAAAGAACGGTTGATTTTCAATTTTTGAGTCAGCACGGTGCCATTTTCCGTCTTGAACTTTATCGGGTCGAGTGGGGACCGAGTTATTACCACCTCGACCTCTTCCTCTCCCCCGTCCTCGGCCTCGACCTCGTTCATTCAATATAGGTTTATATTCAACAAAATATCTAGCTAGGTTTGCAATATTATGAGCATAACTAGCCGGTGTTACTTGTGACAGTGCGCGATTGCACCTTTAAAAAAATAAATACATTGCAACATTAAATTTCATATAAAAATTTTTTTTAGCCTCAAATAAATTGTAAAAAGTTCTTAAATACCTGGAAGATAAAAAGCAGAGCCTAAAAGTCAAATTATAAATCTCAGAAGCAGAAAAATTTCCCTGATTTAGAATCACATGATAAAATGCAGAACGAGCAGTTCCAAGCTGACTAACATGAGATTGTAAATCTGAGGATTGGATTGAATTTGATTAATAATAGTTACTGTAGTAACCCAGAACTTATACAAATAATAATAACAATAATGGTTTATTAACATACAGAAACTAAACTCTTGACTCATGACGATCTCAGTATCGACTATAGTACCATGCTTACAATTCTCGCCATTGAGTAGTTTAAATCTAAGTAGAAAAAAGTAACTGTCTTGTTAAAAAAAGGTAATTTTGAATAACAATTTTACGAAAAGTAATTTACCTGGCATGATGTCGTTTTTGTATAATCATAAATGTTAACTTTGGTGGTGGCAGATTTTCAGATTTGTAATACTTTTCAAGAGCCACAAGTAAGGGTTCCAATTCATCTGTTATAACGGTTTCGAACTGCGTTTCTCCAACGCCATCTCGATAGAAGATGATTTGGTCTGGAAGTGGACTTCCTTTAACTTTACGTTGTTCAAATAATTCCAAAACCATTTCATTAAGGTTCTCTATAATGTCAACGTCGTGTCTTAACTTTTCATTCATACGATAACGGCAGGAATATTCTGTTAGGTTGTCATTCATTGAACCACAAACTGCAGGAACACTAGGTCGGCCTTTTTTCTTATCTTCTTTGCTTGGATGATAAACATCAGCAGCGAATACCATATGCTAATATAATATAAAGATAAATTTAATATAGGGGGGTGGTATTCATACTCCCCACATTTGGTATTCATACCCCTCAGTAAAAAATAAAATTTTTTAAAACTTATAGCGAAGATATCTCGACAATAATTCGATGAAATTTTTTTTACTTGAATTCTATGAATCCATAGAATTCAAATAAAAAAAATTTTATCGAATTTGATCAGGTTGTTGTCGAGATATCTTCGTTTAAAGTTTAAAAATATTTGGCGCAGCTCTTATTTTTGATTTTCCTTTAACTTTGAGCGAAGATATCACAATAATTACCTGTCAAATTCGAAAAAAATCTTTTTATGTGAATTTTATGAATCAGTAGAATTCAATTAAAGAACGTTTCATTGAATTTGATCAGGTGGTTGTCGAGATATCTTTGCTCAAGTTTAAAAAAAATTAGGCGCAGCTTTTGTTTTGATAGGCATTCTCTAACTTATATCTCAATATCCACCTGACTAAATTCGATGAAAATTTTTTTATTTAAATTCTAGAATTTAAATAAAAAAAGTTTCATCGAATTTGGTGAAGTAATTGTCGAGATATCTCAAATATAGAAAAAAATCAAACCACCTATCAAAATAAAAGCTGTGCCTAATTTTTTTTAAAACTTTGAGAAAAGATAACTCGACAACCACATGATCAAATTTAATGAAACTTTTTTTATTTGAATTCTGCGAATTCAAAGAACTCATATAAAAAAATTCATCGAATTTGGCCTGGTAGTTAATGAGATATATTTGAGTTAAAGGAAAATCAAACCATCTATTAAAATAGGAGATGCGCTGAATATTTTTAAACTTTGAGCGAAGATATTTTGACAACCACCTGATCAAAATTTTTTTTATTTGAATTCTATGAATTCATAGAATTCAGATAAAAAAGTTTTATCAAATTTGATAAGGTTATTGTCGAGATATCTTCGATATAAGTTTTAAAAATCTTTATTTTTACTGAGGGTATGAATACCAAATGTGGAGTATGAAAATAAATAAAAAGATTCTTACAGCTCTTTCTGCCTTGAAATCAAGTAATCCATCGGCCAAACGAGAATTTTTGCCTTGGAGTTTACCATTTATTTTTAAAGCCATGTTGTTAAAAACTTGTCTTAATCTACGATTTTCTTTAAGACACTTAGTAAGAACGCATTGGTTCATAATGCCTAATTCTAAATAGCAAATCCTCTTTATTTTTGCGTATAAACAATCTTCTTCTTGTTGCTTTTTTGGAATAATACATATAATCAATTGGGTTGGTTTTGAAGAATCAATTATAGCATCTTGAGCGGCTTTCACTATAGCCTATAAAGCATGAATTATATAAGATTAAAAACCAATTCACAAATTAGAATAAAATTAGAATAAAATTAGCATATACAATGCTTTGTTACATACTTTTTTATAATCTTGGCAATTATGCAGTGAGATCTTTGGCATATGTGGTACATTCTAAAAAATGAATAAGATATATTAAATTGTTTCTATCAAAATAATAATAATAATAATAATAATAAAATGGATAAAACTTACTAAACCCTTTGAAATTAATACTTCCTTCAAAAGTCTGATTGCAGATTCAATTGCGGAACTTTTTAATTCTAGATCAAAGCAAACCACGGACCAGTTATATAAACCGGCACTCTGCAATAATAAACGTGTTACTGAAATATCCATGAATCAATGAATTTTAAGCGATGCATAAAGTTTTGAATAATTACCTCATTAAATTTAGGTGCATCCCATTCACCCTTTTCAGTAGTAATTTGTTTATTATTAATAATTATTTCCGGTGAAGGGAGTCTTCTTGCTGAATAAATAGAATAAACATTGTTAAATTAAATAATAATCAGCCTTATAGTATGTTTAAAAAAATTTTATATAAAGAATACATTAATAATAATAATAATATATTAAATGCATTACCTTTGATTTTCAAGAATCCACTGTTTTCAACATCAAATGAAATAGATTTTAACCTTTTGTCGCTTCCATGTCTGTATTCTTTTTGAATACCTTTATCTATTTTATCAAATCTCTCTTTTGGCCCAATCACAGTCTTTTTAATCATATCCTCTTGTTGAAGTTGATTGAGATCATCAGTCTTATGTTTTTGACCTAAGAATAAATTTTTAATGATTTTTAGTCTGTTAAATATAAAAATAAAATGAATAAACATAATTGAACGTTGTCAGAAGTCTTACCACGAGATAACACACAAACTTCTAAAGGAAAGAATTTAGTACGATTCCCTTTTTTAACCACAATACACGGAAGGTTTGGATATTCCAATGGTAAATCTGATTCTGCATAATATTTTTTAATACTAGTTTGCACACCATCTTTGTTAAAAGTTATTTTATCGGCCGATTGTGAAGAAATATCGGTAATTGTATTTTCAGATTTGGAATAAGTGGTGGTAAATTTTAAATTTTTTAAAAATCGCCTGAGATATTGAATATCATTTTCATAAAGCCCTTTACGTAAGTTTACATGAGAGAGAATTATATTAAGTAAATTAATCAACTTTCCCGATGGATAATATGTCGTAGCGCATACATCATGATTGACAAGTAAATGATCTATAAATTTTTAGAGAATTATTTTAGAAAACAATCTTTCTACTAAATTGCTAGATATGATTAATAAGTATTTATGGGCTTACTCCATCCTATACGAATGCTTTGATAGAATCCAAGCATAAGTTCAGGCCCACCATATAAATATTGTGGTTTATCGGGGATTGGAAAGGTTCTCCTGCCGAGAGTTAAGTTTCTTGAACGAACGTCAGAATTAAGATATATATTAAGCACTCGTAAGAGATTTAGAAGTTTACTATTCAGAATTTCACAATTTTCTTGTTCAATATAATTTTTTAATAAATTAAAATCGATCTCGGCACTATATTTAAGGGTAGCAATGTATTGTTTTCCATCTACACTGGTCTATAAAAATAATAAACATTAATGGATGATGTTTTCAAAAATGATGAACTTGTTGAACACTTACATTTAAACGCTTTTGATTACCGCATTCGACGGAGGAGTAAATCATAGTTTCATCATACACAGGGAAAGCGTTCGGACCAAATTGTTTGTTCTCATATAAATTACGAAAAACTTTATATATTTCATCTTTTTTCGCCTTTCTTCCTTGAGTCAAAACTTCGAAAGTGTAGCTGTAAATTTTAGGATAATTGAACTTTAACAGTGAAAAAAAATTTTTTTTTTGTAAGTTTTATATATTTATATAATCATAATGTTAATTAATGTTAATAATAATGCTTACTTTAACTCGTCTAAAATTTGTTTCTATCTCAATAATTTCACCTGTCGTCGATGGCTCTTTTGGCCTTCGAGCGATCTCCAAAGTCGGAGCTTTTCGTGGTTGATTCTGCATGATGGATAACTAGTTTTAACGTTATTTGCGTGAAAATCTTTTGATATGCGTAATACTGTTACGAAATTCTGAATGCTTGCTATATATATATGTGAAAAGTAGCAATTTACGAAATAGGCATTTGCGCAGTTACTGGGCGGAAAATGTAAAAATGTGTTCATTAATGCATAAAATATAGTACACTAAAATTACGTCATACTTTGATTTAAATTAAACAAAGTTTTGGGGCGTATTGTGAGCATAGCTAATTTTAACTTAAATGTTGATCTGTGTTTCACATCTTTTACCCAATAAAGCAATCACATGCACATGGAACGTAAATTAAAATCTTTGTTCGCGATACTCCCTGCTGTTAATCCATTTAAGAACCGTTATAACTTTGACTTTCATGATTCAAGTTTAAGGTTGGAGCTAAGCTGCGCATATGTGTGCGTATTATTAATGTGTACAGTGACTGGAAATTATGTAATGCCTTTTTATGCAACGAGGGAATGTCCACCATTAAACAATTTAAATATTTTTCTCACACATCATGAGTTCAAATAATAAGGAACCAGTGCTAGGCTAACTGAACTAATGAAAGAAATAGAACTACAATTTCTATCTTACTCTTTGAATACTTTATCGTGTATTATACCTTCCCACGTACGTAACTACAGTATCATTAGTCTAGTTGTTAATATTGCAAGGAAAAACTTTGGAAGATCAAACTGCATTATTTCCAAAATTAGAAAATTACACCAGCTTTCTCGAAAATCCATAGGCATTGTTTCCATAGTTGACCATAATTACTTGGTTAATACTGTAATACTGCAAGATTGTTTTAATCACATTGTTGTAACTATATCGATATGATAAATTATTTTTAATCTATTATGATGTTAGAAAAAGGAAATCAATTGCTGCTTTGTTCCAGATAGGATTATCCGAATTAGTAATCCTGACTACGGATGAATATTGGACTAACAGGTAACGACAAGTATTCGCCTACCTCACAACTTGTTATTGGCTGCTTCGCATCCAATAACTATATACTAGGCTAATGCGTAGCATTGTGTGTCCGGAGCACATGACGATTATTATATAACACAAACGCGTAAGCATGCATATTTTTTGTAGTACTAAATTACAAATTTAAACACGCGTGCGGACAGACAAGAATTTTCAAAGTTACGATTTTGATAAATAGCTTAGAAGTGAATCAAAAATGTAACTATTGATGTATCAAGATCGTAACTTTTGTATCACCATGACTAAACACTAAATGTCCTCCGCTACGCTCCGGACAATTACTCGTACTTCTTGTCTTACGCAGTACTACGTGAGCGCAGCTATCCCTATTTATTAATTGTTTGATGTAATCGATATTCATTATATTTTTTTAAATAAATCAAATTTATTAGACATATTTATCAGAGCTTGAATAAATCTAAGTTTTCTACATGTGTAAATCATAAAATATCATCTATTTAGGGTGTTTTCAAAATTGATCGGAAATAAATTTTTAAATAGTCGGGACCAAAAAAACTGATCAAGTGAGCTGCCGTTTCACTGAAAAAAGTCCGGAGGCGCAGACCATCTGTTTTTTTTCACAGAGTTAACGCTGATTGGCCAAAACTGCTTATTAATAGAGTAAAAAAAGAAGTCATTCAAGCACTTTACGTCATGGATCTTCAACGAAATAATCGTCGAAAAATTATTATTTGCTTTTTATATTCAAAACTCTTATCGCTAATAAAAAATCCCAAGAGACCCAAAGAGTAAACCTTGCCAATCTTTATTATCTTATACCTTTTATGTCAAATGCGACCATTCCATATTTATTTTTTTTTACCTAATGTAAAAGCCCAACGTCAACAAAGACCAAAAACGGGTGGATTCTGGTTGGAAGTTTTTCCATATTTAACAGATGAAGGAGGTTATAATTCATTCCGGCAACATTTTCGTATTACTCTTGCCACTTTTAACTATATTGTTAGATTATTAGAAAACCATTCAGCCTTTTTTTCAGAAGCCCTCAATGTAACACCTGTATGGAAGCAAATTGACATTGTATTATGGCGATTTGCAAATGGAGCAGGCATATGAATGTTGGAACAAACACTTGCTTGGCATTAGTCAAGGGTCAGTATGTTATTTTACGGATTGGTTTTTAGAAGCATTATTGGATGTAGAAAATGATTGAATAATGTGGCCACAAGGTGCTCGATTAGCTACCATAACTCGGATTTAAATATGGGGAAACTGGTTTAGAAAATTGTAGATTACCTAATGTTATTGGGGCCATGGATGGTATGAACTGAATAAGGGCAAGGAGTACGTAATGGGCGCCTAGTTAGGAAGGTTGGTGCTTGAGGTACATCCGTAGAACGGCAGCACCCCAAAAGGTGGGTTACATATATCAATCTATCCCTTCTAAAAATGGTAAATTGCAAAAGCTTTTATTTAATTAACCTTCTTGGAATTGTTGATTTTCAAGAATGTTTCATGTGTATATATGTTGGTGAAGTAGGTTTAATGCAATTTTTTTTAAATTTTATATGTACACACATTAATATATTTTTTTAAAATAAAATTAATTATATAAAGGTAGTGTTCATAATGCCTGTGTGTTTTATCGCTCTTTGCTATATTGCAGAATTTTACTAAACTCTAAACAATAGGTTCCTAGTAGTATATATTATCACTGATGCTGCTTATCCTCTTAAAACTTATCTGATGAAAAGATTTTTTAATTATGATTTATTAATATATCATGAATGACATTTTAACAAAATTCTTTCTTCAATAAGAATGGTTGTTGAATGAGCATTTAGATAGTTAAAGAGACAATAGAGAATTCTGTTAAAAGAAGTCTATTGTATAGATCTAGAATGTATCATTAAAATTATCCACATGTGTTGTATTCTATATAATTATGTATTAATAATAGAGGTTTGTTGTCTTTAGAAGATGCTAAAATAAAAGAAAATGATATTAATAATGATGGTGAAGATTATAAAACTACTGATAATTATTTATAGTTAATGAAGAAAATGATAGATTGGTGGTATACAAAAAAGAGATTATTTAGCAAATCTTCTTTTTAATATTTTATAATTGTAATATATAGCAATTTATAATAATATTTGATTATATTTAAGCAATACATTTTTAAAAAAAATTAATAAAAATAAAACTATAAAATATATTTTTACATCTTCGTTAAAAGTTGTCTAAAGATTTTTATTTGTTTATTATGCTGCTTTTGTTGAATTTTGGTCATATAAACATGTTAATTTTTTATAGTTTTGATAATTGTTTTAGTTTGTTCTTTAACAAATATATGAAACGTTTCAATATTTCTTTTTTTATTCTCAAATCGCTTTTTTTTTTTAATGTTAGAGAAATCAATCTATGTATAAAAAATAGATAAATAAATAAATATAAATATTTAATATATATATATAAATTTTAATACATACCTCATTATCATTATTATTTGTAGCTTTTTGTAATTTGTATTTTATTTAATTAATTAGTAATCCACTAGTCAACCAGAGAGTAATTATAGTAAAATATAACTCAAATCACTTATAAAAATTAGAGGTTTTCAAATATAGTATACACATATTTAAAACTTTTTTTACTAAGTTAATTATCTTTCTAATTTAATAGAGCTTGTCAAAATGTATTTAATAGTGGCTAAAGCATTAAAATCAGCCTGGCAGAAGCCAAAATATCTTTAAAAAACCTTTTTTTTACTATGTAAACTTCTTTGTAAACAATACTATTGTTTGCAAAGAAGTTTAAATAATAAAAAAAATATTTTTTAAAGATATTTTAGCATTTACTAGGCTGATTTTAACACTTTATCCACTATTAAATATATTTTGACAAGCTTTACAAAAGTTTCTTAAGTTAGAAATATAATTAAAAAGTTTTAAATATGTGCATACCATATTTAAAAACCTTTAATTTTTATAAGTGATTTGAGTTACATTTTACTATGATCACTTTCTGATTAATTGGTAGATTACCAATTAATTAAATTGCTCATAACAGATGCTATGATGATTGGATCTTTTTTTTAGATATTCATCTATATTAGTAAAAAAACTTCTAATTATTTTAAATTGCTTCTTTGCCAGTTTTTAAAATAGTGTCTTTTATATTATAGTACTTTTGAAGAAGGTTGTTCTATTTTTGTTGAATTGATGCTTTTGTACAATCCTTTAAACTTGAACTTGCATTGGAAAAAGCTTGCAAATTTGAAATAATATTCTACCTTTTTCTTATGGGTCTTTTACTTATTGCAATGCATGCTACTGCTTTCCAACTTCTTTAATTAGCATCCAAGTTTCTGAAGATATCTATCTATTTTTCAACTTATTAGCTAAAACAATAGAGATTGAACTTGAGCTAGATATAGATTCTAAAATATCTAAAGTCAACAAATTTTCCTGCCTATTATTTGTAATAAAAAGTTTCTTCTAAAATTTATATTTATTATTTTTTTATTTATTTTTTTATTTTTATTTTTTTAATAAATACTTTGCTATTTTCAATATTGGTGTTGTTAAAAGCTAAAATTTAAGAAGCTGCAAATATTGTTGCCATAGCAATATATGAATATTTGTAAAGTTCATAAAAGAAGAAGAGGAACACTTGAAGTTGCTAAAGTTATATTTGTTTGTTGGAGTATTGCCAAAGAAGGAGTTATATTCATTTGTTAAATAGTCAGTTTTTTTTTACTATAATTACTGAAGATATAGCGACAATAGAGTAAAACAAAGATGGTTTGCTTAAACAATAATTGCAATCATTATTATGATCAATTGTAATAATTAAACATCATTTTAATCACTATTAGATCACATTGAGGAGGTTGCTTAAGAATACTCTAAATAAATAAAAAAAATTTTTATCTTTCTTAATATCTATATCTGCTAACAAAGCTATATAATGTATTTTTTTTTTTTAATTATAAGGGTGTAGCACCCGCACTTAGACTTTATTTA